GTGAGTGGTAACAGTTTGAGAATACTGGTGCATCTATCTCTTAGCATCTGTGGTGACTTGGAGCTTTTCTTTTTTCTTTTTTCTTCTTCTAACAACCTAATACAAAAGAATGACATATACTTCTATTTAGTATTACCCCAGCCTCTGTTATAAATAAAATAATGGAGTTTTGAAGACAAATTTTTTAATATTACCAAATTGTAATATTTCTTCTATTTACCCCCCAAATTACTGTTAATCTTGTTAGCATTATAATAAAAATTCATATGAAATGACCATCAGTATAAAAATAAAAGGCTGGTGGGGGCAGCAATATATATTGTGGTGCTTTTCCTATCAAATACATAAATACAAAAAGCCTTTCTGCAATACAAAAACAAAAATTTTCATTTTTTTCTCAGCCGTTCTCATTTCAAAATAAAGTACATATTGTACTTGCACAACATTCTACTTTGGCTCCCTAAATAATCTTCAGTCATGTCCAAAATAGTCTTTGAATGAAATTAAAGTTTTATTGTATCTCTTTATATACCCCGTTTACATGCATGATAGTGGATCAAAAAGTATGTAGCCTAACACAGTTTTTTTTTTTTTTTAAACTAAACTTTGATCTTGAATTTTTTACTGTATAACGTAAGCTTCAATCCAAGTACTATTATGATGATGGAGAGTATGCATAAAGAAGAAATTGTGAAATAAATGCTTTGTTCATTAGATCACAGACTTATTGATATACCTGTGTGTATGTCTATAGCAGAAAGCTGAAAAGTTTTATGCCCTACTTACTTCCAAAAATCTGTATTTTTTTTTTTTTTAATGAATACACAGGATAATGAATGTAGCCAAGAAGAAAATTTTTTTTTTTTTTTTTAAGCAAATTCGAGCGTACATAACCCAATAAATGTAGCCAAAAAGAAAATGCATATTCTATGTTTTTTTTTTTTTTAAGCAAATTCAAGCGTACATAACCCAATAAGTGTAGCCAAGAAGAAAATGCATATTCTATGTTTTTTTTTTTTTAAGCATAATCTTATTCCTTATCAATGTACTTAATACAGCATCAAAATTCACATAATAACTGTGTCAAGCCATGGACTTATTGATCCACTGTTGTAATTGTTATTTTGTTAATCTACACAAAGTTATTCCCTCTTTCTGATAGTGGAATGTTATTATTACTGCCTACCATTTAAAACCAAAAAATAAAAAAAACCCTTTAATAATTTCTAAGGTGTGAGGGAAGCTTGCATATTTTTCTGTCGACAACAACAACTGGACTATATTAGACAGACATCTCCTCTTTAAATATTTGTAATTTCTAAAAAGAAAAAAAAATAATAATATATGCTCCCTTCTAAATTTTCTCATAGTCCTTTTTGTAATGATAAGCTAAAAACAAAGTGGGATGAGAAAATAAAAACACTGAATGGTCTCTTCTGAATGTTATAGCAAATTATAAAAAAAAAAAACATCACTGATTTACTTGGATGAGTGACCTTATTTTAGTTATCGTTACATTTCAAATGTTGAAATAAACTTGAAAAAAGGTGTGCTTTTTCTTTTTTTTTTTTTTTTTTTACAACTGCAATTGGTTTGATATTTTGATATTTTACTGGAAATGATTGCATTTACCACCTGATGGTTTAAAAATGACTTCATCTCCCCCTTTTTTTGGGAGGGGGATTGATCTTACTAAGTCTCTATTTGTCATTTTCTCATAACAAATTTTCTTTCTAACTGCATGCCTTTCTTTTTCTGTCTTTTAACACTTGCCATTCTTCTAAAACTTTTCCTTTTTTTAGTTTCAAAATTACCAATGGGCTGTAACTTGCTTCTCTTTCATCTGTATCTCATTCTTTCTTTCTTTCTTTTTTATTTGCTATCTACCATTTTAAGTATTTTTTTTTTTTCATCTTCTACACCATCAAGAAAGAAAAATTGTTGAGGAATGTTAATCATAAAATGAATGCAGTATAAACATTAGCAATTGTGTAGAACATGAAATGATGTTTGGTAGTTTTATAGAAATTTCTGAAAATAAAACTAATACCATAGCCTCCAGCTCTTTCTTATGCAAGATATTTGTCATTTAATAAAAATTGAAGCTTCACCAACATTACTCAAAGCAGTAAAGGAGTAGTAAAAACCAGGATGGCAAGCCTCTCTTTTAGACTTCATTACTTTCTTTTTTGCCAGCTTTTATTTTTTTGACTATCCAGCTTTCTTACTTACCTCTCTAAGTTTCCTTTTCCTAATTCTGTTGCCATGTGGCACAGATACTACCCTGTAATCTAGAAGTGCCATTTTGATCTAAGTTTGAAGTACTGACCTGCGCGTAGGAGCTCCTGCTCATTGTTGTGACTGATCTGCATGTATGCACGACTGATTCTGTACTAGTATAAAATGAATGCAGTTTAACAAGAGAAATAAAGAAATTTTGCATGTTTTTATAGTTGCATTGTAAAACAATTTAATGTAAAATTACTCAATTATTGGTAGAATTATTAAGATAAGACTACAATAAAATCTCCAAGTTGTCACTTTGGTTTATTTTGATGCCCCCACCCCCCTGGTGAATTACTTAAAATTCTGTATCTATCTTCTATTAACCAATTTAATATCAGAAAAGTTGATCTTCCATTGGGGTCTAATTTTCAGTTTTGTCTTGTTGATTTGTAAAATATCATCCTTTCTATTTGTTAATAGGAGCTGAGCAACAAATGTTTGTAAAGACTCTTATAGGTATCAATGTGCCAGGAAAAATATCTTCTTTTGTTCTCTATATCTAAATAAATAGCAAATTCTGTCTGTCCATCCATGTCTCTGAAACCCCACTAACTCTGGCCACACTTACTCTACATAGACATTTTATACCTTTTTGGAATCTGGATGTTCCTACATCTGGTACTTGAACATCCAGCATTGGGATTTGTGTCCAGATGAGGATGGAACAGTTAAAAATTCAAATTTTAAAATAACTGAAAAGAAATTAGTGATTTTAAGTTTTTAATTTATATTGAGTTTAAAGTAACACAAAAACTTTGAATTTTAAAAATGTTTTGAACATTAGTATTTTATAAATAAAATCAATTTTATTTCTTCAAACATTTGCCAAAACTGATTTTCTTCAAAATGCTTAGGAATCACAGTTAAAGTGAGAGATCTCTTGTGACATGAGGTTTTGAAGTTCCATGGAGTAAATTGAGGAATTCAAAGTTATTTCTTCAAAATTATCATTCCTGTTTTCTAAGCTGAACCAGATGTTTCTTTAGTTTTGGGCCAAAAGCCCAATTAGCCTTCTGCAGGACTTTTCAGCTTAGTAGTTAATAAGTTAATCTTGTAAGTTGTTATTGTTAGTTGTTTACTCTATATAGGCTTGTCATATAAATCTGTAATCTAATGATTAAAAATAAATGCTTATTTTTTTTTTTTTTTTACCATAATCTTCTCCCTTATCAATACCTTTTACTTAATACTCCTTCATACAGTGAATACTTCAGTTAATGATTGTCAAACTATAGACTTACTGACCAACCATTGTATTTAGCCATTTACCAAAATTGATTTTATTTATAAAATACTAATGTTGACAGTTTCAGGTTTAAAAAAAAAAAAATTGAACTGTGAATAAATTTTTAAAAGTTTTTATCTTTTTTTTTTTTTTTTTGTGTTGATTAAAATTGAATTCTGAAATGGAGCATTTTTACCATTTACTCTTTAAAGATTTTTTTAATAGAGACTTCAATATGACTAGATAGGTATCCCATTTAGCCATAGTCTTCTGTGATCAAAATGGTTAAGACATTGTCCATGAAGAACAAACTCCTGGGATAGGAAATGCAAATTTGGAGTTTGCCTTCAAGTTAATTCTTTATTCCTAATTTATCTTACTTAAGTTTCCAAGGCAAAGGGTATTTAATCTGGAAAATTCTGATTTAAAATAAAAAGAGAGAGAAAAAAACTTGCTAGAAATTAATAATGAAAATACTTCATCTAAGAATTCAAATAAATTAGGTAGTAAAAACAATATGATGTGAAGATTTAGGAGTAGAGAAGTGATAATGTCTCGATTTATACCTTATTTAACGCTAAGCTTATATGACTGAATTAGTTAAGGTATTGTCTTGGAAAGATGATCTCTCAGAATATGGGTTTGGGTGCTTTTGGAAATTGCTTTACTCTTAATGCCTGCTATTTTTAATGGATAGAATGTATTTATTTGGTCAAGAAAGTTGTGATTAAAAAAAACAATAAGACCATGAAAAGACTGATCAGAGGTTAACAACAATTCACTAAATATTGTCTCTTGTTTTCATTCAGTTAGTAGATGCCACGGGGTAACATCTACAATATGCTGGCCAATCTTTGTCAAAATTCATCAAGATTCTAATCGTTCTGGCAGAATGATTTTATTTCTTTTTGTGTCAATCATCTAGAATTTGTGGTGGTTTGAATTGACGACCAGATTGTCTTCTTTTTCTAAGTTGTCATGTTTTCAATCCAAGATTCATGAATAATTTTACATTTCTGACAATGCCCAGACTTTGTCTTTTCACTTCTTTGTTCGAAATGTTAACAATATTTTTCCTGCTTTTGGCACAGTTGCCACAGTTTTAGTTTTTAACGTCCTATATTATTTAAATATTGCTTTACATCTCAATTCTAATTTTTTTTTTTTTTTTTTAAATACTGAATTTGTTAGGCTATAATATATATATATATATATATATATATATATATATATATATATATATATATATATATATATATAATTATATAAAAAATTTATAACATAAGTATGTTATAAAATCACTACAAAAATAGCCATTTTGTTTCAACACCCTCGGTGTCTTATCAACCTCATCACTTGATGAGTTTTGTAGTGGGTATTTTCAACCGAGAGTGTTGAAACAAAATGGCTATTTTTGTAGTGATTTTATAACATACTTATGTTATAAATTTTTTATAAATAATAATTATATCTGCTCTACTTTGTATTG